GCCTCAGCCCAGGGCTTAAAAGGCTGAGGCAGCCAGAGAGAAGAGTGGGGCCACCACTAAAAAATATCATCCACAAGAGGATGAAATTCATTCAAGCAGGGCTGATGAGGTGCCATAATGCGTTCACTCAGCCTGCTGAGGTCCAAGCGCTGAACGAGTGATGGATCCTGAAGACATACCTCGTAAATAATAATGAGTAAAGGAACAGGGTGAAGCCCATGAAGCAGCCTGACAAATGTCTTCCATCGACACACCACTGTGGGGCACCACAGAAGAGGAAATCCCTCTGGCTGAGTGAGCCCTGAGTGTCTCAGGAGGATCCAGCCCCAATGATGTGTAAGCGAGTGAAATGGCGTCACATAGCCAGAGTCAAAGGCGCTGGGCCAACAGCGCTTGCCCAAGGGAAGACTCCCTGTAGTGCACAAACATGATTTGTGAGCGGCGAATCCCTGAAGTGCGTGACACATATCGTGCGAGCGCGCGCACCAGGCAGAGAAGATGGGAAGCCGCCTTCTCCTCAGAATTATGGGGAGGAGGAAAAAGTCCAGCCAATGAAATTGACCTGGATTTGAAGGAAGTATTAATGTTTTTTGGGCACAAAGGCTGGGTTGGGGCAGAAAACAGCAGATCCGCCATCTGCCCGGATCCTGAGGCATGCGGGAGCCACTGAGAGGGTGGTTTGGTCCCTCACTCTCGTGACTGATGCCAGTGCCAGCAGCAAGGCAGTTGTAAGTGACAGGAACTTGAGTGAGACCTGGTCCAAGGGCTCAAATGGGGCTTCAGATAAGCCACGCAGAACCACCATTAGGTCCCACTGGGGAATTAGCGGACGGGACACAGGTCTGTTCCTTCTGACACCTTTTAGAACACGTTTTGTGAGGGTATGATTGAAAACAGACCTGTCACCAAAACCCTGGTGACAGGATGAGATAGCTGCAGCATATGTCTTAACAGTGCTGAATGTGAGGCCCCTGTCCGTCCGTATCTGCAGAAACGATAGGACATCCGCCAGCTGGCAGGAGAGCGCTTGAACATTCTGCTCTGTGCACCAGTTCTGGAAAGCTGCCCATTTAGCAGCGTAAGATGCAACGGTAGAGGGCGCCCGCGCACTCTGAATCGTGGTGACCACATCATGCGGCAGCCCAGAAACCCCTAATCGAAACCGCTCAGCGGCCAGACTCACAGCCGTTGGCTTATTTCCGGAGGATGTCTGATTATCCCATCCGCCTGGGGAGGGGCGTCCTCCCTTCGCGGGAGTCTCCACTGGGAGCCGGACAGTAGCGCTTGCTGGTCCGGAAGCCATGACGCGGACAGGCGTCTGGGAGCCACCAGAATTACCGAGAGCTGTTCTGACCGAACTCGGTCCAGGAGACGGGGAATCAAAGGGACTGGTGGAAACGCATAAAGGAGCGTTCGAAGCCCGGGCTGGTGTGAGAAGGCGTCCGCTCCGAGCGAGGTTTGGTCCCGGAGACTCAGGGAAAACCACAGGTGACACTGAGCGTTTTCGCGAGCCGTGAACAGATCCACACGGTTCCCCGAACCTTATCCAGATCTGTGATATCAGCGCGGGATGCAGACGCCAGTCGGAGTCGCGGGGACCCCCTCTCGACAGGATGTCTGCCGCTACATTCAGGATCCCCAGAATGTAGGTGGCACAGCAGGTGGACATGTGCCCAACACAGTAAATCTGTGGCTATGCGCAATAGAGGGGGGGATCGAACTCCCCCTTGGCGATTTATGTAGGCTGCCGCCACCTGGCTGTCTGTGTGAACTTCAACATGATGGCCATCGAGAAGGGCAGCGAAGTGTATGAACACATTCCTCACTGTCATAAGCTCCAACACATTTATGTGCTCGTGCGTGTGGGAGGGCCAGCGATCTGCCGCTGTATGGGACAAGCACGTGCCCTCCACCCCAGACAGTGACGCATCCGTAAACACAGATACGTGTGACGCAGGACGTCCGATGGGAATCCCGTGTGAGGGGATGCAGGGATTCCCCCAGTGAGCGAGGTCCCCGCCCACTGAGGGGGGAACCCTCAACATACGTCTCTTCTGACGTATCGGGTGTACCCGGAGGCAGATGAACGACCTTTGCAGGTGCCTCGAGCGCAACAACCCTAGTAGCACTGCCGAGTGGGCTGCAGCCATCATGCCCAGAAGTCTCATGACTAACAGGACTCTCACGATCTTGCGGGGTTGCACGCGGGAGATCACCGTGGTGAGATCTGCCGCTCTCACCGGCGACGAACGTGCTCTCATTAGAGAGGCGTTCAGCTCTACCCTGAGAAACATAATCGACTGGGATGGAAGAATGGAGTTCTTCCCCTAGTTTATAGAAAACCCCAGGGTTGACAGATGCTCTGTTAACCTCCTGGTTTGCACTGACGCCCCGTCCTCGGACCGGGCGCATCGGAGCAGATCGTCCCGGTAAAATAAAACCCTCGTTTCCGCCGTGCGCAGTGGCTGCAGCGCGGTCTCCAGACATTTGGAGAAAGTGCGCTGGGCTAGCGAGTAGCCGAAAGGGAGGCATTCGTGCGCGCGTTCCGACAGCGGACGTGTGCTCGAGATCACGTGAGCAACGTCTGAGGATTGGTTTCGCGCCCTTACCGCCGTCGCTCGTACCAGAGAACTGGGAGCGACCCATGGAGGGCTGTGCTCGAAAGGGCGAGTGTGAAACAGCTGGAAGAGGCTGATCCGCACCGCAGAGTGTGGAGTCCATGAATGACGAGTGGGAGCCTGGCCCGTGCACGGGAACGTCAAAGTGCCAGCGGATGGAGCCGCGCAATGTGCGCGCTTTGCGCGTGGTCGCGACAGTGCCATGACATCCCGTCCCACCCAAAGTTGAGGGGGAAGCGGGATGAGTCTGGCCTGGCTTTAGGCTGGGGGCGGTGCGCAAATGGAGCGCACCCTTACAGCTAACCGTGTAACATGACCGAGTCCGACTGTGTGAACATGCAGATGTGCTGCAGTGCTTGGTGCGGGGAACATCATGTGTGAGGATTCGGCAGAAGGTTCTGCAGAGGACTGTAGTATTGTGCTCTCGATGTGACGTTTTTTTGGGTTTTATTTCAAAACCAAAATCATTCACAGAGTTAACATTGCAGCCATAAGCACACACATTCCCCCCAACGAGTCGTTTTCGTGGTTGTTTTCGGCGAGGTTCCTGTGACTGCCAAGGCTGTGTCTGCTGGCTCGTTCGGAACCGTTGGCCGCCAACTCCCTGGTCCTGCCTCAGCGGGAGGCCGGCTCCGCGGGGCGGGCCGTGCAGCTGGGCGCATGGAGTTTCCGCGCCGTTCGTCCCATCCTCTGGGGGAACGGCCGGAGTGCGAGGCTGACCGAGAGTGGACCAGGTCTCGCACCGTGGCTGAAAGTTCAGCCGCTGAGCCCTCTAGATGACGCTCGTAAGATGGGGACCAAACAGAACGTCAGAGGTGATGGGGCCTTCCAGCATCTCTCTGTGCAGGTGTTCAGGAATGGAGGGCAGGGCCGTGAGCCACAAGGCCGCTGGATAAGGGTCTGCCAGGCAGCAATGCGAGCAGAACCGGTGAGTACAGCAGCGCACAGATTGAGGATGGCATCAGCAGTTTTAGTAATGATGGTTTTTGACTCGACAGGAGAGTCAAGCTCCTCCACCATTTTGGAAACGCTAAAGGCGAGAAGGCGATGTTATTTCAAGCAGCGCCGGTCTGGAAGGCGCACTGGTGTGCACGATCGGCGAGCCGCCTCAGCAGCTGGTCGTGCTTAGCGGGAACTGCTCGCGGTCCAGTGAGGTGGTTCTTGACGCCACACAGCGAGGCCAAGTCCGGCTCCAGTGGAGGAACGGATGGCCAGCCCTGGTCGGAGAAGCCCTCGACCTTGGTAATGGGCGCATATGTGGAAATTGGCACCTCGAGCCTGGCAGGCTCGGAGAAGGCGGCGGACCAGCAGCTCATGGCAGCGGGGAAGCGTGGCCAGACGGGGTCTGGACAGCGCGTCTGTGTCGCCCCGAAAATTCCCGCCAATTCATCTGCCTCAGGGGAGCCGGTTCTGGAACGGCTAGCCCCCTGCGGGTCGCAGCCGCGGAGATGATGGCGGGCAGCTCCTGGAGCAGCGCTCTAACTGCTGGCAGGGAGGAGCGAGAAGCCACTGGGGCAGAAGGACCCGCTGAGCGAGGCTCGTCGACCTCCGTGTTGTACAGGAGGGAATAATGGCTGTGGCAGCCAGCCTCGTCGTGCTCCTCACGAGGCTTGTCGACCTCCGTGTTGTACAGGAGGGAAAAAGGGCCTATGGCAGCCAGCCTCGTCGTGCTCCTCACGAGGCTCGTCGACCTCCGTGTTGTACAGGAGGGAAAAAGGGCTATGGCAGCCAGCCTCGTGGTCGACCTCCGTGTTGTACAGGAGGGAATAATGGCTGCGGCAGCCAGCCTCGTCGTACTCCTCGCGAGGCTCGTCAACCTCCGTGTTGTACAGGAGGGATGAAGGGCTATGGCAGCCAGCTTCGTCGTACTCCTCGCTGTCGATGACATCGTCCAGTCGGTAGGAGCCAGCCGGCTCCTGGCCGACGTTGAAGAACCGTAACTCCTTGTCCAGCGAGTACGTGCCAGCCACCGGAATTTCCTCGTCGGTGGAGGGGGTGAAGTACTCGACCCGGCGGACCTTTTCAGCCACAGGCAGAGCGGTACAAAACGGGCACGAGGCCTGGGGGTCAAGGCCAGGCCAGCGTGGTGAGCCCCGAGACAGACCTCACACTTGGCGTGCAGGTCGCCGCTGGAGATGGAGCCCGTCTGGCAGGCCGGGCAGGTCCTGGCGTCGCTGGACATGGTCGGTGAGTAGATTTTTCTTGTATAATTGCTCTTAAAGGAAGCTCTTAAGCTTGGCGTGAAGAGAAAACGGAGGCGAGCAGTGGAGTCGCTCCACTTATATAACCCACAAGGGGTGCCCACGTGGTGGGCGTACATTTAAGCTCTTCATGATGCTGAGATCACCCTTCCAATAGCAGCTCGCTTAAGGGCTAAGACTAGACGAAATAGAACGCCAAATTTTGCCCCCAGCCAATCAGGAACAAGTGTCTACAGTTGACCGTGGACGTTGCACCACGGCATCATTTCTTTATTTTAAACACGGCTTCATAGAAACTTGTTATAAAATGGTAAAGAATGTGTCAGATCAATAAACATTTATTGCAGAAGATTAATTAACATCGTCGCCTTTTATGCAAGATTACATTATTAGACAGTAAAAAAGTTTATTTTAAATTTAAAACCATTTGTTGATGACTTCCTTTTAATCTGCCACATCAAAACATCAGAACCATAAAAATGAAAAGAAGAAAAAAAACTGGTAGTAAAACAATTCCTATACATTTTTATTAAAATATAACATCTCTGTGATATTTGATGATGCAGAAAGCTTTATTCTGTAAAGAGTTTTTGGGGATTTACTTTTTAACTCGTGTTTACGCAAAGTCCCCCAAAAGTTTCACTGTAAAAATCACCAGAATGCAGCTCTTTAGTTTTTGAACATCTTAAGGAAGCATGCAGATGGCTTTAAAAACATCTTGGTGGAGGACAGAGGGACCTGCGGTGCCTCTCAGTGTGTCCCAGGGCAGCTGAGGCTACAGTGTAGCTCATCACCACCTAAGATCTGTAGCAGAAAGATAAAATGAAGTAGGTTTGTAAGAATTGGTTGTTTACCAGTAGATTAACATGAGTTGTGGATTAGGTGTGAAAATTTAACCTCACGGTTATTGTGACCAAAATTACCACGGTTTTCGGTATTATCGCTGTATTTTTTTTAAACGTGCTACATTTTCACACAATTAAATAAACCCTGTATGTCAGGAAATATTGTCCTCAGTTTGTGTCTAAATTTTGCCTAAAATGTGTTATTTTGAAATTATGTTGTTTATTTGTTTACATTTTTTCCCTTTAGTCTTTAAAATACCAATATTTGCCCATAACTTCTTATTTTTTGTCTGTTTGATGTCATAATTTAAAAATATTGGACCAGATGATACTCAGTACTCAAGTAGCCTTCAAATCAGATACTTTTTTTTACCCTTACTTGAGTAATAAACCCTATATCAGGAAAATATTGTCCTCGGTTTGTGTCCTTCCTGTGAGCTTTGCAGATTTGGGAATATGTCATAAATTTATAACTATCCTCGGAGAGAGACCAACTCTTATCTGCCCCTGGGAGCCCCGTAATGCATAGCGTCATTTCAATATGGGGGTGTCCGTTTATATGCAGGTAGCGGCGCTGCGGCTGCTTTATATAGCGACTCGTTGCATTCTCCCTCAACCCGAGTCCTCGGATCACGTATTTTAGCTAAAACGCTAACGTTAGCTTGCCTTGCGTTGACTGTAGAGTTGTGGGTGATGGTCACGCAGATGTGTCGTGAGATTTGAAGCGTTGCTGCCTTTCACAGACACTTTTTCCTGCACGTGCGGCAAACAGGATAGCCGTCTTCTATCAACTGTCCCTCGGCATTCTTCAAATATCCAAAAAATGCCCGTACTTCCCACTTTGTCTTCTTTGAGGGATAATAAATGTCCTGAGCGCTGCCGTTTCCTCCTTTGGCCATTATTTCAGCTTTAGCTTCAAGAAAGTTTTGGTTGTAAACATCAAAGCACGCATGTGCCGCCGGCAACTTCAGCAGATATGTTGGCTGGTAAGGGTCACCGCGCCTACACCGCAGCCACGGTAACCCACCGAGATAATACATTTTTTAAAAACAAGACGGTTATTATTATTGTCAACTTTTTTACCGGGGTTTACCGCTACACCGGTTACCGTGACAACCCTATTTAAACTCCAGATGGTGGGGCAGTGCTTCAGCTCTGTTAATGGTGGAGTCCATAATTGAAGCTTAGATGAACCACCACTAAATGAACACCAAATAGTAGAGGTACTGAAAAAAATCGATTCAAGTCTGAATCGGGATTCTTATTTATAAAGATTCAGAATCGATTCCAAGAACTCAAATATTTGGCATGTTATAGGTTTGAAATGCACTTTTTGATCTTTGTTAGGAGAGTCAGTACTCCGTTTACTTTTGTGGTCCCATAAATTGAGATGATTTATGTTTGAATCTGCTGATAAGAGGCCACTTGAATGTAATTTTTTCCATACTCAGAAATTTGAGATATTCTATTTATTTTCTAAGCTGATAAATGAGTACTCGGGATTATTCATGTAACTTGTTTCTACACATACTTGAAAAGTATTTGATCGTATTACTTTCAAAGCTACTGTTAGGTAAACTACAGGTTTGTTATACTTTACAAGGTGAGCAAAAATAAATGTTGCCTTTTGGTCAAAAGATTGCTTCTGTTTACAGTTTTGGAATCACTTTATTTTACATTGTAAATTTGCATTTTTGGAGCATGACCAGTTTAAAGTGAAATAAAAATGTCCCATAGCTTTAACTAACTTGTACAACAAAGTAGTTCATCCTGGAGCTGACACTCTTTGTTAATACTGATTGTGATTCGAATCAGAATCGATTCTCGATCGGAAGAATCGGAATCAAATCAAATCGTGAGTTGCTCTAAGATTCACATCCCTACGAAATAGGTGTGTACAAGAAACAAAATAACCTCAACAAGAAAAGCGTTTTCTTCTAAAATCTCGGTTTAAATAGCAACAAATGCTTTCATAAAGCAGAACACGAAAAATCTCTGTTCCACTCTTGAGCAACAAGACATCAGCTGTGTCTCCCACTGCACCCGTTACCAGTTTATACTCCTGCGTCTGGCGGAGACACGCAAAGCCTCGATCTGTCGGTGCAGGCAGATATTTGGAACCTTTTCACAATATTCTAACTGAAAGTTTGAGTGTGGAGTTTTCTGAAGCTGGAAGCTTGGGGGCTTCCACAAAAACAAACAATAATGAACAAGAGTCTGCTTCTAGACCTGCAGAAAGAGAAAGAAGAGAAAAACAAGGGACACAACAATACAACAGGAGCAAGCTATCGCTGCGTCAACTTGAAGAAATATACAATCAGCATTGTTTAACTGAACAATTACATGATAATAAATCATAGTGGCAACGACACCAGGCAACCAGGTTTAGGTGATCTGTCTGAAAATAAGGAAGATGGATATTTTACTCCTTCTTTTAAGGGACATAATATAGAAATAGCCTACGGCATATATTATTCAGTTTTTCCTCATTTGTGTTTTATTTCATAAACAATTTGAGTTTTCAGAGAAAATTCTAACAACTATTTAAACGTTTTACCGTAATCTTTTTGTAGCTGATGAATCCAAAAGCTGCGATGATGAGAAGAATCAGAAGCGACACCACGACGGTCCTCCCCCGACCCGGAGACATTCCTTCTGTTCAGGACACAAAAATAAAACCTGCTAAACGTCTTTAAAAGCGCCAAGTAACAGATCGATTACAAGCACTGGTTCTTACTCCAGTTGGTGTGGATTGCTGTTTTATCCAGGCTGAGGACGATTTTCTCCTCAGCACCAGAAAACTGGAACAAGCAGTCGTATCTGGGCCAGTCTTCATATCTGAGGGATGAAATGTCCAGATCAACGTGCAGCTGGAAGGTTTCATCATCGTTTGGGAGGATCTCTCCATGAATCTCACGAATGTGCTCTCCATCTTTTCTCCAGATCAGCTGGATGCTAGGGGGGTAGAACCCTGAAGCGTGACATCGGACCGGGGAGGAGGGCGACCTCTGGAGGAGGGAGACTGTGGGGGACACGTAAACAGAAACAATGACTAAATAGTCTTGGTTTTGAGCTGATTTTAGGACTCCTGCTCTGGTGATCTGACCTGTTTGTGGGGGCGTCATTTTTCCTGATGCCAGAGTTCTGTTCAGCCACAGAGGACACAGCTGTGTGAGCATTTGGACGTGAAACTGCAAGTCCCGTAAGTCAGCGTCCCAATGATGTTTGATGACGTTTGCCTTTGGCGTCAGAGGCGTCGTCTTTGTCTCCAGATGAAACTCCATCAGGTCTTCTCCATCATAGCCGTACTTCAGAAATCCAGAAGGTTTTGTGTTTTCATCTGACTCGCAGCCAGCGACCCTCTGGAGAACGTGTGCAGCTGGAACAGCAACGTCAGAAACGAAAGTAAAGCTCCGCCAAACTCATCTAGTTGTTTAGATTCTGATGTTTGGTGGTAGGAACTAAAATTAAAGCATTTATCTTGGTTCACGAGAAGAAAAATGGACACATGATCTTCCAGGAATCTCAAATATCAGACGAACTGAAGTGGAAACAGGAAAATAAACGTTTAGATGAAACTAAAGGTTTTCTGTGCAGCACCAATCAGAAACATGCTTACTGTCATTTTGGCTGAAGAGCTGCTTTAATTCAGCCAACATGTGTTTGAAGAAAACCGGCATGTCAACAGAACAGAATCTGTTAAGCTGGGAAAAGTCGTCTTTATGATGATCAAATATCTCTTTCATCTGCTCGGTTGTTGCTCTGCTCCAGGTCTTGTTGCAGTGAGCCACCCGGATGGAGTCGACCTCTGCAGCAGCTTCAAACTCCGGGAGGCTTTTGAATCCAGACGATCCAGAGAAGAAAACTTTCACCGAGTGTTTCTCTGAGAGATGACAGTTAAAAGTTTAGGGAATAAACCGTTTATGGGTCATGAACTCTCTGTCTGTCTGAGCGACCGGAGTTTGATGAAACTGAGATTATCGTTAATTAGATATGCTAAAGGCTAGTTTAAGTAAACCTGCTGATCTGAAATGATCTTTACCAGATCATTTATTGGATTAACGGTTTAATGATATTTAGTGAAACGTTTAGTTAGTAGGTTAGAGAAGCTGACAGGGGTGTGATCTTACCTGCAGATGCAGGAAGGCAGAAGAAAAGCATCACAAACATCTTCATGTTTGGTACAAACCAAAATTATCTGAGCTGAGGTCGGGAGTTAATGCAGCGTTGTTGAAAATCAGAAATGCGTCCGAATGTGATTTAAGATGTGTTCAGTTTGGCGGTCTAAAGTCTGAAAGTAAATCTCATTTATTTCAGACTCAAAACTTTCATTTTCCTTTTGCAGAAACTTTATTATAAAGATTTCTGAGTCGGTTCCTTCTTGCTCCATTTGCAGGTTTTTATCTTTGCTTACCTGATAAAGTCCAAAGCTCGTCAGATTTCACCCGTCGTCCTGCTTCCATCACACACAGACCCGTTCTCAAGCTGCGCGACGTGAAAACAGTGAGGCGGAGCGCTCTCACGCGTCTAGATTTCAGATATTTTTAACATAAAACAATTGCATGGGTCACCTCTTTATTCAGGACTTAAACTTGTAATGATCCATGATGTGGAAAATACATCAACAGTTTCAACAGCATCATCAAACTTAATTCCGGGCCTTTAAGGTCCATAATGGGAAGAATAACACAGTGAACAGTAAAAATAGATAAATTCATAAAGATTAGAGGGGGCAGTTCCTGTGGAGTGGCAGACTGGGATGGTGGTCCCCATCTTTAAGAAGGGTGACCTGAGGGTGTGTTCCAACTATAGGGGGATCACACTCCTCAGCCTCCCATGAAAGGTCTACTCCAAGGTACTGGAGAGGAGGGTCCGATCGATAGTTGAATCTCAGATTGAGGAGGAGCAATGTGGTTTTCGTCCTGGCCGTGGAACTGTGGACCAGCTCTATACCCTTGCAAGGGTGATGGAGGGGGCATGGGAGTTTGCCCAATCAATCCATATGTGTTTTGTGGATTTGGAGAAGGCTTATGACCGTGTCCCCAGGGGCACCCTGTGGGGGACGCTCCAGGAGTATGGAGTGGGTGGCTTTCTGTTAAGGGCCATTCAGTCCCTTTACTAGAGGAGCGTGAGTTTGGTCCGCATAGCTGGTAGTAAGTCGGACCTGTTCCCGGTGAGGATTGGACTCCGCCAGGGCTGCCCTTTGTCACCGGTTCTGCTCATTACCTTTATGGACAGAATTTCTAGACGCAGCCGTGGTGTGGAGTGTGTCGAGTTTGGTGGCAGGAGAATCTCGTCTCTGCTTTTTGCGGATGATGTGGTCCTCCTAGCTTCATCCAGCTCTGACCTTCAGATCTTGCTGGGTAGGTTCGCGGCCGAGTGTGAAGCGGCTGGGATGAGGATCAGCATCTCCAAATCTGAGACCATGGTTCTCGACCGGAAAAGGGTGGCTTGCCAACTCCGGGTCGGGGGAGAGGTCTTACCTCAAGTGGAGGTGTTTAAGTATCTCGGGGTCTTGTTCATTAGTGAGGGTAGGAGGGATCGGGAGATCGACAGGTGGATTAGTTCAGCGTCTGCAGTGATGCGGACACTGAGCCGATCTGTCGTGGTGAAGAGGGAGCTGAGCCAGAAAGCCAGGCTCTCGATTCACCGGTCGATCTACATCCCAATCCTCACCTATGGTCATGAACTTTGGATAATGACCGAAAGAACGAGATCGCAGATACAAGCGGCCGAAATGAGTTTCCTCCGTAGGGTGGCCGGGCTCAGCCTTAGAGATAGGGTGAGGAGCTCGGACATTCGGGAGGGACTCGGAGTTGAACCGCTGCTCCTCTGGATCGAAAGGAGTCAGTTGAGGTGGTTTGGGCATCTGGTCAGGATGCCTCCTGGACGTCTCCCTGGTGAGGTGTTTCGGGCATGTCCTGCCGGCAGGAGGCCCCCGGGTCGACCCAGGACACGTTGGAGAGGTTACATCTCCAATCTGTTCCGGGAACGCCTTGGGGTCCTGCCGGAGTAGCTGGTGGAGGTGGCCGGGGAGAGGATGGTCTGGAGCTCCCTAGTTGGGATGCTGCCCCCAGACCCGGATAAGCGGAGGAAGACGACGACGAGGAGTTTAAAAAATAGCAAGAAAATAAAAACACATTAAGAACAATAAAGCAAGTTAATACAGTAAAATTACAACCAATAGCAACATAAACAGACAAGATCAGTCAGACAAACAGGCAACAACGCCAGTGATTCCAAAGGTTAGAATAGAAACGAGTCATGCCAACACAAACTACCCTTCTCCTTTGCTAACCGCCAGTACACCTTCACTCGGTGTCCTTTAGGTTATTCCAACTCGCCAGCTGAGTTCAATATCTTCTTGGACAAATTCTGCCCTGATACTCGAGAGCGAGGTACCCTCATCTATGTTGACGACATTCCTGTTCGTAAGTGTACCTTGGATGACCACCTGTCCGAGCTGGACCATGTCATGGGTCAGCTCGCAGCTGCAGGTGCAAAGATTTCTCTCGCCAAAGGTCAGTGGTGCAGGTCACGGGTTCAGTTTGTTTGCCTCCTTGTGGGACCACAGGAAGTGCAGCCTCAACTTGGCAGAATTCAAGGTGTGGCCACCATCACACCTCCTACGAATGTCTCCAAACTTCGGAGCTTCTTAGGGGTGTGCAACTACTTGCGCCAGTTCGTAGAACATTACGCTGAGATAGCGAGACCTCTGACTAATCTACTGAAGAAGGATGTGCCTTTCGAGTGGACTGAGCAGCAGCAACAGGCCATGGATGACCTGAAGGCCATGTTATGCTCAGCTCCGTGCTTGGCGCTCCCCGATTGCGACAAGGAGTTCCATCTTGAGGTCGGTTTCTCAGCTCACTGTTTGAGTGCTGGTCTCTACCAAGTATATGGCTGTGACAGGCCTTCTTGGAAGAGTAACGGGTTCCAAACCTCTAACCGGAAGCCCGTTAAACATCAGGACCTCTTCATGGCGTTTGACGTCCTAGTGACGGTGTAACACCCCTGGAAACAGGGGGAAAAGAATCACGAGAGTGATTATGATTTGCGTCTCTCATACAGCCGTTTATTGCAGTCAAAATGAACAGAAACATCTCACATTCTGTACTGCTAGATGTTACATGGTGGAAGAAAACACTAACTAATAAACCGAAATATTAAAAGGCTTACTGTACATATATACTGGAGCAGGTTTCCTGACAAAATGGCTGACAACAGCGGCGTTTTTAGCTCCTGCCATTGTCCTACCGGCCATTACGCAGTACAAAATCGAGGCTCAAAACCGCCACGTATATGTGCACAAAACTGTAATATAATACTTCTAACGCTTACAAACAATGGAGAATTACCTCATAAATATCTTAACAGTATACACATTGGGAATATATCAATCTTTAACCACTTTTACCTGGAAACGGGGAAAAGAATCAGAGAGTGATTATGATTTGCGTCTCTCATACAGCCGTTTATTGCAGTGAGGAGAACGCGCGAAAACCCCCTAGTGGAGAATAGAGACACTACCAATCGATTCCAGAAAAGGCTTATTAGCCGATCACGGATGTATAGATTGCAGTTCTCTTAACTAACATGCAAACCATCAATATAACATGACAAATAATAACCTCTTAACCATTTTCTTGCCATATTTACATTATTTCTGTTCTTATATCAACTGATATGAATTAGTATCAAGTGAACAGTTTTATATGCAGCAGTCCTTCTACCTGTCACACTCTCCCCCACTCAAGAAATGTCGTCCCGACATTATGCCAACAATCGTTTTTCAATCTATATTTTCTTGTAGTCAGGACATCAACAGTAGAGTGAACCAATCTCCTCAATGCTGTGGGTTTAACACCTGTTTCACCACAGTCCATCACCGGTGACTGAAGACAAAGTCCATACGTGAGTTTTCACAAAGTCTATTGCATTTGCTGGAGTCCATACCAACCAATGGGCGGGATGCAGTATGACTGCACAGCTGGAAACCATGGGACCAGGCCCGGGTTCACAGAAAACAGTTGCGGTGCTGGAATACCAGGTGCTGGCTGAATACTGTAGCAGGATGGGGTGCCCAATTGGCCATATGTCATCCGTCTCGGCGGGTGTCTCTCTCTCTGCGGCCGCTGAGGTGTCTCCTCCTCAAGTTTCTCGGGTACAACCGGTGGGGGGGCAGATATGTCACCTGTAGTGGGCCCTGCCTCCTCACAAGTTGTCTCCGCGGCAGCTGGGTTGGGCGTCTCCAGATGGTCTCCAGCAAGAGGCTCTGGTGTTGATGCAGGGGCTGAAGCTGCGGGCTGAGACACTGCTGTAAGAAGTTCTTGTTCTGATGGCTGGGACACAGGTTGAGGTGGTGCGTAATGGCAGCAGTATTCATCAACACTGCCCTCATCATCAGAGTCTGGCACAACAGTGACAGGTTTATCAGTCTTTTTCTGTTCACGTCTTGTACGATTATTTTTTTCAGGCACTTTTTCCAAAGGTAAGTAGTCACATGACATAAGCAAGTTTCTGTGAAGCACCCTAAAACGCCCCCCGCCTCCCTCCGATTTTACCTCGTAGATAGGGAGGTCAGGCCCCATTTGTCTGACTACTGTGTGAACAGTGTCCTCCCAATAGTCTCTCAGTTTCCCTGGGCCTCCTCTAGGTGTCAGGTTTTTGACCAGAACTCTCTCGCCAGGTTGTAACACAGAACTCCTTACTTTTGTGTCGTAGTGTCTTTTGCTTTTTTTCAGCAGCTTTCTTTGCATTCTCATTTGCTATAGAGTATGCTTGTTCCATGCCCTTTCTCCATTTTTCAACATAGTCTCTGTGGTCACTAGAATCTGTTTCTGAGCACAGTCCAAAGAGCATATCTACTGGTAGCCTGGGTGACCGTCCGAACAGTAGGTAAAATGGGGAGTAGCCAGTGACTTCGCAATGTGTGCAGTTATATGCATACATAAGCTTATTGATGGATTCCTTCCAGTTTGCCTTTTGTGTTTCAGTTAGCGTTCTAAGCATTTATCACAATGTCCTGTTCATACGCTCAACTTGACCGTTCCCCATTGGGTGATAGGGTGTTGTCCTAGAACCGGCCATGCCACAGAGTTTCTTGAGCTGACTGAATAGCTGGTTTTCAAATTCACCTCCTTGGTCATGGTGAATGCGACAGGGGAATCCAAACTTTAGGGCATAGTCATTGAATATCAGATTTGCAGCAGTTTTGCCTGACTTTGAGGTGGTGGCATAGGCTTGCGCAAAACGTGTGAAGTGGTCAGTTATAACTAAAATATATTCATAACCGCCTTTGCATTTTTCAAGATGGAGAAAGTCTATACACACTAGCTCAAAGGGATGCGTGGTTACAATGTTTGTTAAGGGAGCTCTTATTTCATGGCTGGGCTTTTTCTGCTTTACACAGGAACAAACGTTGGTCACATAATGCTCGATGTCTGCCTGCATGTGTGGCCAAAAGAAGCGTTCACGTATCAAAGACACTGTGCGGTCAACACCCTGATGGCCCATATTATTGTGCAGTTCTTCAAACACAGCCCTTTTGAACTGATCGGGCAGGACTAGCTGTTTCCGGGCAGACGTTAGTCTATACAAGATGCCATTGTTATCTAGCCTTAACTTGCCCCACTCTCTGAACAAGCATTTTGTCTTAGGGTCAAAAGTTCTTAGCTCTTTGGGCAGTGGTTTTAAGTCTGTCTGTTTACACTGTAATACAGAGCTTATAACAGGATCAAACTTTTGTGCTTCACTAAGCAGTCCTTTTGGTATGGGTGTGAATGTTGCTGCTGCTGGCCCACCTTCTGCTGTCACTGACATTGCTGCAGCTGAGAGTGTCCATGTAGCAGGTGTGTCTTTCTGTACCGCAATGGCCTGGATAGCAGCTGAGATAGAGTCCGGTGGCACTTCCTCAGAGCAGTCTCTCATCAAGGTTTCTACATCAAGTGGCATTCTTGATAAATCATCTGCGTCACTGTTTTCCTTTCCTGGTTTGTACTTAATGGTGAAGTGAAAATCAGCGAGCTCAGCGACCCATCTTGATGTGGTGGCATTCAGTTTGGCTGTTGACAAAATGTATGTTAGCGGGTTGTTATCGCTATAGACAGTAAATGTTGGGGCATAGTACAAATAGTCTCTGAATTTGTCAGTGATAGCCCACTTCAATGCTAAAAATTCTAGTTTTCCTGCATGGAAATGGTAGTTTTTTTCAGCTGCTGTTAGAGTACGGGAGCCATAAGCAATAACTCGCAGCTTACCATCTTGTCTCTGGTACAGGACGGCACCTAACCCCTTGTATGAGGCGTCTGTGTGTAAGATGAACGGCTGTGTGAAATCTGGGAATCCCAGCACTGGTGGGTGAAGCAAACAGTCTATTAGTTCCTCAAGTGCACCTTGATGCTGGTCAGTCCACACAATTGGTTTTGAGGAGGGCACAAATTGACTGGCTCTCTTTGGTTTTGCCTTTGGTTCTCTTGTGGTGTCTGAGTCCTTTTTGGTCTTGTCAGCTTTTAACAGTTCATACAAACAACCTGCTCTTCTGGAGAAGTCTCTTATGTATTGTCTGTAGTAGGAGAGAAGACCTAACTTTTCTGAGCTGACCAATATTTTGTGG